TAAGGGTTGAATCAACAGCACAAAAGATACGTAACTGTGCTGGAAAACATCTGGGGTCTCTGATAAAATGTTATAAGCCTGCACACATAAAAGGTTAGAGAGAGGAGTCACCCTCATGATGAATCTCTCTAAGGAACAGCCAATTCCTGAGCTTGCAGACACCTGATACCAAACACAACTATTTGTTTTTCTTTCATGCACCTTCAGTTTTTGAATCAGTGATTGATGAATTTACTGGTTACAGCCCAGTGTTTTGTTCCCGACTGCCGTGAAACGTCTCTGACTGCCATCCTCTCCATAGCAACAGTGAATGACGCTCATGGGGATTGCAGCATTTAGAGTAATTTGCCATTTCAAACTGATGGATAAACATAATTTCAGAGAAAAAAGCTAGAATAGTTAGAACTTATAACCATAACATAAATCTTGCTATGTTGTTAATTACATTCTATATGTATTCTAACAACCGGTGGTCATAAATCCATGTCATATGCTAAAAATAGATGAGACATCTGAGACACTTGTTAACAACATAGTGTATGTATAGTTTAAACATGACCTTCCTCCTCCTGGACATAATGTTTCATGTAGCCAGAATGTCTGCATTCTAACCTCTGTGTATGGCGCTATACGATTTTAAAATCACCATCAAAGGTAACTAGAACAGGCTCAATTCAGCATGTGGATGCCATAGATTTCTCCAGTCACTACATGTACCACCTGTAGAGTAAAGTGGGAGGAAGGAGTAGGGAGACAGGAAAGGTGTTGTTGTTAATCTCACTTGAGGTCATCAAAGTAAACCCCCCCTCAAATGGGAACTCTTGAGACATAAATGTCATCCTATCAAATCTATAGTATCACCAAATTGTCCAAGATACATTGAGGATATTGTTAAAAAAAACTAAATTGAAAAACAGTAAAAGAAACGGCAGTGCCTCCCTCTTCACAATACATTTCTGTATGTTACATTTACTTCTGGTTTGTTGTTACTAAAAGAAAAGATAATTCTATATATAAGCCTTAATGTACTAATTCTGCACATTGAATTGTGAAAGTATCTGTAAAGCCATGTAAGAGAGGCCAACACTCTATATGTTGGGATAATACTGTATATAGGACAAGAGACAACTGAGCACAGCGTCAGAGTTGTAGTCAAACGAAGAGCCACAAACAAACAAACACGAACACTGACTGATGAGGTCACTGCTCACACTCAGTGCTGACAGAGTGCAGTCAAATATCATTAAAATAAAGTGGAGAGCTATGCAAAGAGGCCATCAAGCAAACAGACACCTAACACACTCACTGTACGCTGCTTCAGACTAGTTATGTCTCATAATGCTGAGTCTGGATGAACACACCTCGAGAGTTTCTGAACCAATTACTTAGAAACAATGGGGCGTTAAGAAAGCCTATTAGAATAATCGACACGGGTTTTGACCCTAATCCCTCTTGGTTATAAAGATTCTTTAATGGATTTTTCCTCAGGCAGGAAGTAAAATACAATGTGAAGCTGAAATGTTTCAAGACAGCACCAGTGTTGGGCCTCTTATCTCAGGGATGATAGTGTGAACAACTAAAACATCAATATAACTATATGCTATAAAATGTGGTGCATAAAGGAGGATAACAAGAAAACATGACTTGTTATAATAAAGCATCAGTCTTATTGCTTTTTATCTGAGTCACAAATTGCCTTTGTGTCAGTTAGTTTTTCCTAGCCAAAGAGAAAATAGTGTCATGAAGAAGCAAAAGCTTTGACAGCTCATAGGTCTCCTCATGATGGCCAGTTTGCTCTCGCTCCTCTGGACGTTCTCTATTGTAGCTGGCTTTTCACTACCAGGGGTTTCCAACAAATTATTACCCAGGGACCACCATTCTGACTAAAGCCAGATTTAAACTTCTGCATCACTGCACGTATGTGAACGTACAGTATGTGTGTATCAGCTGGAGACGGTCGCACAACTGTTGCTTTTATACTTGCGCAACGGTAACATTCTGTCTAGGGGGCACTCAAACAATAAAGCTGAGAAAACACAGAAGAAGAAGTCAGGAGATGGAAATGGCACAGATTTTGAGCCAGGCTCAAAGCAGTTATAATATTCCTCCTATAACTGGTATTATGCCACTTTATGAAGTGTTAATATTGAGAAAGCAACAATCTGTAACAACCGATATGCCCTTCTGGACAATCCTGGGGCCAGCGTTGGCTTGGTGTCTCTCTGCCCTAAGACAATGGATGTTGTACATGCTCCACTGAGTTTTAGGGAAGCGGCTTTACCCTCAGGTAGTGAAGCAGGTGGAGGACTTACTTCTTGAACTGCTTGAGGAAGATGCCCACATTCATCCCCCTCTTGGAGTCAAGGATGCTGATCTGAAAACAAATGAAAAACACCATAAATAGTCTAATACATGATTTTACTGTAGCTGTCGTCAGCAACAGCCTTGACACAGGAACAGGCACATGTATACACAAGACTTCCTTATAGCGTTAAAACATCTCCTGGTTTGAATTAGTGATAGTAAGCATACAAAAAAGATGCAAAGAAACCATATAATCAAAGTAAACCCCCCCTCAAATGGGAACTCTTGAGACATAAATGTCATCCTATCAAATCTATAGTATCACCAAATTGTCCAAGATACATTGAGGATATTGTTAAAAAAAACTAAATTGAAAAACAGTAAAAGAAACGGCAGTGCCTCCCTCTTCACAATACATTTCTGTATGTTACATTTACTTCTGGTTTGTTGTTACTAAAAGAAAAGATAATTCTATATATAAGCCTTAATGTACTAATTCTGCACATTGAATTGTGAAAGTATCTGTAAAGCCATGTAAGAGAGGCCAACACTCTATATGTTGGGATAATACTGTATATAGGACAAGAGACAACTGAGCACAGCGTCAGAGTTGTAGTCAAACGAAGAGCCACAAACAAACAAACACGAACACTGACTGATGAGGTCACTGCTCACACTCAGTGCTGACAGAGTGCAGTCAAATATCATTAAAATAAAGTGGAGAGCTATGCAAAGAGGCCATCAAGCAAACAGACACCTAACACACTCACTGTACGCTGCTTCAGACTAGTTATGTCTCATAATGCTGAGTCTGGATGAACACACCTCGAGAGTTTCTGAACCAATTACTTAGAAACAATGGGGCGTTAAGAAAGCCTATTAGAATAATCGACACGGGTTTTGACCCTAATCCCTCTTGGTTATAAAGATTCTTTAATGGATTTTTCCTCAGGCAGGAAGTAAAATACAATGTGAAGCTGAAATGTTTCAAGACAGCACCAGTGTTGGGCCTCTTATCTCAGGGATGATAGTGTGAACAACTAAAACATCAATATAACTATATGCTATAAAATGTGGTGCATAAAGGAGGATAACAAGAAAACATGACTTGTTATAATAAAGCATCAGTCTTATTGCTTTTTATCTGAGTCACAAATTGCCTTTGTGTCAGTTAGTTTTTCCTAGCCAAAGAGAAAATAGTGTCATGAAGAAGCAAAAGCTTTGACAGCTCATAGGTCAGTATGTGTGTATCAGCTGGAGATGGTCGCACAACTGTTGCTTTTATACTTGTGCAACGGTAACATTCTGTCTAGGGGGCACTCAAACAATAAAGCTGAGAAAACACAGAAGAAGAAGTCAGGAGATGGAAATGGCACAGATTTTGAGCCAGGCTCAAAGCAGTTATAATATTCCTCCTATGACAGGTATTATGCCACTTTATGAAGTGTTAATATTGAGAAAGTAACAATCTGGATTGGGAATAGGCAGTCAGTGTGAGTACCCACTAGAGGGCCAATTAGAAGGCAGCTACGAGTCAGATTAACCAATCTGTGTGCAGGTTGCACAGCTCCACACAGGTGAGATATGGGAGGTGTGCATGTCAGGCTGTCTGTGACCATCACTGGTTGAAAACCCCTGGTATAAATACTTGTCTGCTGTATGGTCAGACAACATATTGTACAGACCAGCATTGTTCTGGCCGTTAGGCTCCAGAAATCTGTGGAATATATGCCAGGGAGCATCTAAGCTGCTCTGGAGACTGAATCTGGCCCCACACTACAGGATAATTAGCCTGATTTTGGGCCCGATATGCCCTTCTGGACAATCCTGGGGCCAGCGTCGGCTTGGTGTCTCTCTGCCCTAAGACAATGGATGTTGTACATGCTCCACTGAGTTTTAGGGAAGCAGCTTTACCCTCAGGTAGTGAAGCAGGTGGAGGACTTACTTCTTGAACTGCTTGAGGAAGATGCCCACATTCATCCCCCTCTTGGAGTCAAGGATGCTGATCTGAAAACAAATGAAAAACACCATAAATAGTCTAATACATGATTTTACTGTAGCTGTCGTCAGCAACAGCCTTGACACAGGAACAGGCACATGTATACACAAGACTTCCTTATAGCGTTAAAACATCTCCTGGTTTGAATTAGTGATAGTAAGCATACAAAAAAGATGCAAAGAAACCATATAATGAAGTCTGTCAAGAAGTTTGTAAACAAATAAAAAGCTTACAACACAAAAATGTACATTTGTATACTACAATCATTTCTTGTATAATGAAATTAGAAGAAATTATTTCATTCCTTTGAGCAGAATCGACACTATGCAGTTTTAAAAGGTGGCCATTTCACTGCCAAATGAAATGAACTTGGCACATTAACTTTAGAAGGCGGGATAATCGCTCTAAACTTGGCCATTAACTGTTGTCTGCATTAATGTCAAGCAGTGCCAGTGTTAAAGCAGAGTGATGACAGCAACTAGCCTCGTCCTTGCTGCTCTCCTTGAATGAGCGGGATCGGGATACACGAGCTGATGGCCCAGTGATCGGTGCTGCCCCTCGCATGCCTGGCACCGTGTCCTCCTGCTGCCCGAACAGCTCTTCCACAGAGCGGACATCGATTTGGTACTGCTGCTGTCGCACCGCCATTGTCCAGATGTTGGGTTTCCCGACAAGACCATCACCGTGAGAAGGCAGGGTGGAGTGAATGTGTCCCGACATAGAGGACGGGTCAGAGGTGGGGATGGAGGAAGCGGTGCAGCTGCTCCCCTCACTGCTGCAGCTCTCTGGCTCATTGGTTGTGGATGAGCAACTCATAACAAGCATCACAGGGATAAAACATCAGCATATGAGCTCTATGCTGAGAGAGTGTGATACACACCAGAATATGTCTAATCAGTATTTCCTCTTTCTTCAAATAACTTCCAAAAAAATTATTTGTTTTCTTTTAGGCACGTCTGTTCAGGTGAACAACATCAAATGCTTCAGTGCACGTCCCCACTCTGGTGGAAGAAGGTCACAGTGAAGGGAGCGTGCCCTTTGATTCTGACCATCTCCATCACTCAGCTGCTCGTCCATCGTGCCGAGCAGAGCCTTTGAAGGTTATCTCCCAGGGGAAGAGGAAGGGCGGCGACAATGGCCATGGAACTACAAGAGCAATAAAAACAACACAGGACAGAATTACACAATGGTAGTCACACACACTGTCATGGATAATCTGGAATTAGGGCAAATTAAGGGGTGAGACAGATCAAAAGAGGAGAGGTGTCATGTTGAAGGGCTCACAATGAGTAAAATGGCAATTTCTTTTTTATTTGAAGGGCTTTGAGGTGTAGGCTCTGGGGTGGATAACACACACAGCTTAGCTTCTTTTACACAGTCAGTATCATTTTCATTTGTAAAGAGATCTCGTATAGTGGCTGCTAAGAAAGACAACTAAACTAAGTGCAGGACAAGACAAAAAGGGTATTTCCACAAAAAGGTCTCTTTTAAAAGTTGTGTGTTATGCAGCGTGGTTGTTTGCACCAGGAAAACACTCATCTCAAAGTGATACTGTAAGTCCATGCTTTCAGTTGTCAAATAAATGGGTTAAATTACATGAATTCTCAAACTGCTGCATGTCTGATAAAGACTATTCAGAGTTAATATAATACATCCTATTCATTCCATTTTTACAGGGGACATTATAAGATGAACTCCAGTAAAATGAAAAGCAACAGTTACAAAAACTGCGACAGTGCTGACTGAAGCTTTACAGGAGGACAACTGTCGATCTCTCATGTATTCAGATCAGTGTAGCCTGTTGCCACGGGGAAAAGCCTGTCACATAGCAACATCATTAAAACAAAACAGCGCAGTGCACCAGAAAACATTTGGCAAGTCACCCTGGAAAGTGAGTGGCAAACTTAATATACAATAGTAAATGTAATTGAAAAAGGCATTTCTGTCATGCTACTGGTCAAAATAATCACAATGATGGATCACACTCAGATAATGTTTATGTAACGGCGGTAATTCATTCACCGATGGTTCATATTTGATGCATTATGTTAGCATGTTATCTCACTATGTAGACCAACTCTGTGTGCTCATCTAAGACAATGAGGTGTCCTGTTCTTTCTGCTGATGCAAGTCAAATGTTTCAAGTTGATATTAAATAGAACCGGAGCAGCCTGTTTCCCACAGGAGGGAACCAAGGAGAAGGGATACCGACTCAAGGCCAAAGCACTCCCCTTTGTCTGAGGAAGTATCGGGAAGAGACAGAATTATGAAACAGATAATAACTGCACCTGAACACTGTCTTAAGAATGAATGTAAGCAGATAAGAGCAAGCAAATAAGTATAAAGGGAATACAGAGATGAGCTGCACACGGCAGGAGAATTTCTCTGTGCCATATGTGCATACGTAGCCATACTGCTAAGATTATTTGGGTCCAAATCATCTGTTTTGTGTCCTGGTAGAAAAACTGCCAGTTCAGCTTCAACTACTTTAATTTATGAATTATTAATATGTTTAATTATTATTATATCTAATTAAACTGCCCAATATTATGATAATTCATCATTTGGACTATAGTAAAGTAACTATTCAATTTGGAACCATCAGAGTAGTTGCAGATTAATTTTCATTTGATTAATTAATAAATTAGTCTTTTTAGTATAATAAACCCAGTGTGATAAAAATCCCACTGGGTTTTTGTTGAAGGAACTGGGGTGATGCTAACTTCTGGGCTGTCCTACAAAAATACCTCATCCCTACTGATCTAACTCTTGAACTCTCTCAGAAGACTAAGTCCATACAATCTGAGACAAGCTTTGTGCCATATGAGCTACTCTTGAAACATATGAAACTTTTGCAAACACCAAGGGATAATTTAATAAAAACATAAGTTCTAATTGATAATATGTTTTCAACCTCACAGGCCACAAGGGAAGGAAGTACTTGAGCACTTGCCCACCCCTCCCCTCTCTGTCTTTGTCAAATCAACAGGTGCAGTAGCAGTCGGTTGGAGGGAAACTGGCTGCATTTCAGGACAACACATGACTCACTGCCACAGCTGACTCGGCTACAGTGACCTGATACTGCTGTCTACCTAAACAATGAAACAGAATAACAGAAGTTCTGTGTAAAAAAAAAAACAACAACAACAACAATCAAACAAACAAAAAAAATAAAATCAGACGTGTGGAGCTGAAGAGAAGGTAATGGTATGTTGCTTTAAGTGCCTTAAAGGAAAGAATCGGGTTTCAGGGCAGGGAAGATGATCTCATTTACGATCGGTCGGTATGTTCTCTCAAGGATTTGTTGATAACAATAATAATAAGTTATTACTATCAAACACTGTACATGTGACCTGGTGATTTTAACTTAGTGCTTCTTATACAACTTTGTAACACTGTAGTGATAATCTCCCATTAGTCCACCTGAAACCCAGAGTTTATTACTAATTAATAAAGCAGACGTCACAAATGGCCTCATGTTACCAACATCAGCCTGCACACTGCTGTTCTGTCCTCGGAGCTGGACCACAACATGACTCATGTCTAATACGTAAGACTGTGAGAACATCTGACCTCCCGCTGAGCCATCTTCTCCTGTGGCGCTAAAACATGGCTACTCTAACTGAAAAAACAAAAACAGTTAAAGCGCTGCCTCATGTATTGCTTTCATCTTATTACATATTTCTAGGAAATTTTCTTATTAGTTTTTTGGCAGGCCCTGCGATGGACCGGCGACCTGTCCAGGGTGTACCCCCGCCCGATTGCCAGCTGGGATTGGCTCCAGCTGCCCCATGACCCCGTTCGGGACTCAGCGGTGTAGAAAATGGATGGATGGATGGTTCTTTTTGGCAGAGAATTAGATTAGATAAGAAGTTCGACACCACTCACTAGGATTCAGTTAATCTCATTAAACAAGCACATGTGAAACACACTTTTATCTGATTCGTTGAACTGAAATATAACATGTTAATTAATGAGCTCTAGAGACGCTGTTAGGTAGATTTTTTGACCTTCGGACAGCGCCAGATTCTCTTCAACCTTCAAACCCATGGACACTTTGACATATAAACTGGAGAAGCCAGGATTCGAACCACCAAACCTCCGGTTAGGAGACGACCTACTCTACCTCCTGAGCTACAGTTGCCTCAAAACAGTAAAACAGGTCTCTGAGCACTGTGCTCATGCACTCAAGCTCCAGGTGCATAATCCTGCCTTTCTGAAAGAAATCAGCTGTGTGACAGTGATTGATTTCTATTAATTTAATTATATTTCCTACTAACAAGGCTGTGATCGACATCATTTTTCTAATATGATTTACATAAGAGGAAACATACCTGTCAGTAACAGTATACAGAGGAGCCCTAAAGGTGTGAAAGCAGAGAGACTGTCTCCAGGTTTCCATTCATCCACCTGCTGACATGAATGAACACAGACAGATTGTGGGGATTCATCTAAAAGGTCCACCTGTTGTGGTCCCCGAGGCGTTCCTGCTCCTATCAGTCTTCATTAGTGACAAGGACGCCACCCACTATCATTAGTCTCTGTCAACACAGCCTAGTACTATAAAGGCCAACAATAGCATAAAGAAAGCTCCACAGTCCTGTTATCACTCCATTCATAAGCCATTATCAGTTTGTCATTGGGAGCATACGTAGCTGTGCGTTAATAGGGCCTTACTCCACCTCCTAGTCAACTTGATGCCAAATCACAGTCAAGTATCAAGTGTGGAACCGCATTCATCATGGTTACAATAATAGACACAGACCATACCAGCTTCACAGACAAAAACAACTTGATTTCCTGTAGTTAAGGCAGAGATTGATGTTTTGCTTTAAGTAATAACTTATTAAAGTAACACCCTCGACTACCGGTTTGAAATGGGAAACAAACAGCAGTCTTCCACTCCAATTCCTACTTTATGTTTTTGTCTACCGGCCCAACACTTTCATAAGATACTCTGTTTTGTTTTTCCTTTCATTTGTGATCCATCATAATACACAAAAGGTTATGTAGAGAGACCTGTGGCTGCATGCAGGATTTGTTTTCTATTCTTATTCTATAAAAATCTAGTCTGCAAAACTGAACAGGGTTTTAACCGGAGGTAACTGTCAACATGTTTCCAGGGAGCCATCAAGTCCAAAACAAACAAAATCCACTTTAACTCACAAATGTGTAATGCTGAAGGTCAAGGCACCACCGCTACTATAATAATCCCCTGTTGCTAACCTCCAGTTCAATTTCCTGAGAGTCAGTGAAACCCCACAGAGCCAAGGTCTTTCACTCAGTTGGGGCAAGGAGACACGTTCACAAGGGATTTGACCAATCCTACTCTATTATCATTACCATGGGAATGCTCATTAGCAGAGAGAAGTTCGGTGTAGGGCTCAGTGGGATGTCGCTGTCAGACCAGTTTGTTTCTGATCCCTTCACGCACCTTGATGCCAGCTTGTCCAAATGCTACTGAAATGGAAGGTAGTGATGTGATTTTAGTGGCATCTAAAAACTGATTGATGTGATTAAAGAAAAGCTGTAGGACTGGTGTAGTTTGGGACTGACAGGGCGAAGATTACTTCATGTTCATTTGAAAACTCTCTGCACAGCACTGGCTTATCTCTCTGATTTCTATGTCTTGTTTGCAATGGAGAGTGCACACAATAGAATAGAGCATATTCTCA